GTTCTTGATATGCGACGTTCGCGACTGTAATTAGCCAAAAAGTACGCGATACCGAACTTATCGCGCTTTTTTTTTACTTTATAGTAATAAATTAAGCGAAACCGTACTATTACTCTTTGCACATGTCATACGATGATACGCAACACATGTAGGTCAGCAACCTGTTAACAAACGATTTGAAATCCAAATAAACGCGATTACGTCGGGAAAATTTGTTCTATTCAAACTTCAGCGTAATTCCAGGCTGGAACACGCTGATTCGTGATAAGTAACTTCGCGATTTCGTACAGTAACAATATAGACAATTTAAATAGACACTTTGTGTATTCATGAGTTGTTTTCGTTTATAGAAAAAGAAAATAAATATCGATAACAATGTAAATATATATCAGTCTGCCTCAGAGGTTAGAAAGTTGCTTTGCAACAACACCTGCAGATGGAAAAATACTTCACGGTAGATGGCATGAGTCATCAGTCTCCCATCCACAAAGATATGACACTAACACGTACAAATTGTTACTTAGCTGTGCTTGAAACATTGTCTGTGCTATTTAAGTAATCTCGAACTTCTATTTTCGCAAATGTTATATAACGTACGTTTCAATATACGGAAGTGGAAACATGCGCGGTCAGCGAACGATTGTGTGTATTTTAATTCGCATGCCTGACAATTATGAATCGATAATGCGTTGAAATTAACATTCCCAATGAGGATATTATTCTAACATTCGATCGAGAGATTTAATTCGCTTCTGAGGAACTATGAAACATGTTTCAGGTTATCTTTCACTTTCTTAACTTTCTTTTTCCAAATATATTCATGAAACGTTTATATTTCGTAAATAATTTATGTTCTTGACTTACTTATCTTGATTTATTTTTATTTTTATTATTATTATTTTTTTTTTTTTTTTTTTTAAGACATTACGCGTGTAAAATAAAAGATATCGTGAGCTCCTTGATAGAGAAAAAAGTTTGATAAGCTTTACAGTTGTACTGAAAAATTTTTACAAGATTGCTAGGTATTTCAAAGTCTATTGTCCCGTATTGTGTGGTTATAAAACATTGCGACGTTACGTGAGAAATGACACATTCGTTTACACCTGATGGCGTATATTCTTATAACTATGGTTTAACGATGATAAGTATATTTTTCCTCTATAGTCTGCTTACAAATATATCGCTTGGATTTGTTTGCATTTCTACTGAACGTTTGTACAAATTTTATTTTAATGCTCTTGCGTCATTATTGGAAATAATGATTTAAAATTTACCTGGTGGACAGTAGTGTCGGGTAAATTATAATAATCGTTATACGTTAATTGCTTTCGACGATTGATACCATCATTGAATTAGTTGTTACTCTCCGCTCATTTTTTTAACGTGAATTTACGTGACTTTTAAAGAATGTAGCCATTTCCAAAAAATATGCCCAAATCTCAACGAAAATTGCACATTTAGTTACTTACATTTTGCTGTGGGCACGCTGTGCGTTCCTAACATCCTTAGATTGTGGGCTACCCATCGAGAACTAAAGTAATTCGATTTGTGCAGGTCAACGATAAAACTCAACAAAAGCAATGGTTCATAATGCGTCGAAGGTTCAAGTTCGTACTGACACCAAAGTTCACCGTGTTAATCGTCGCGCGGAGAAACAAGAACGTTTCCTATTGGAACCACTTTCATTCGGTGAAATCGATCCTTCCGATCACGACCAGATCGCAAACGTAACTGACGTATGCACGACAAAGAACGTGTACCGTGTTGGTGCTCTGTCCGTTTGTACAAACATCGTGATAGTAGAAATCGGCCTTAAGGCCGAAGTCTTTGGGGCATAAAGACGATTAAAATCTCAAGGAAAGCAATGGAGTCGTGCAATACTGCAGTCCGTTGTAAAAACTCGACGTTCTGGACCAACACTAAACATCGTTGCGCATTGTTCTAATTAATATTTTTATAACCTATAAATCAAAAGTGTTTTCATTGAGTTTCTTCCTGTTGCACGAATCAATCGTTATCTACTCGTTAACGAACCGTAAATATTTAACGAAATAATCGTTGCGATACGAATTTTATAGTAATCTGAACGTGTACTCACTCTTTGATAGAAAACGCGACATCGTCCAGACAACTCAAGTATTCTGTGCAACCAGACCTGTAGGAAAATCGGCCTATTGTCGTTAACAATACTTGGATATAAATTATCCGACTTACTTAAGGCAATCCATCGTAACAGATTCTTTTGCGACGCGTAGAATGTCTTGACCATGATATTCATGGCTAATAAATAATACATTCTTCTTTTGTTTATCGATTTCCAACGACCGTATCCATTGACATCGAATATGGACAAATGAAAAGAATGTTCGTCTCGTACGAAAGGGAATTTTGTTGGTAAAATTTTAGATTCTTTGCTGGAATTTTTCTCAACAGCGTCGTATGTTTAGTATTATTGGTATTACGCGATATCTGCGTATTTTCACAAAGAAAGATTAGACGTCTGATAACATTTACGGTTATGATGTCATTTTTGTATGTTTCTAGAAATTCTCTTGGAAGATTTGCCACTCTCGTAGAATTACAAAACCTGAGATATTTTTGACTATCGTTGTTAGTGTAGTTTACCATTTTAAGATAGATAGTGGCGCGAATGATTTGGCTGTGCGCGTGCAGGCACGCAGCCAGGTTTTTATTTATGGAAATGGAAAGCTTGATACGTTAATAGAGAGAGGGGAAACAATTATAAATATATTGTATGATATTTAAAACAAACAATGTTTAAAACGCATTGTGCAACAACAACGGCATTATCTGCCCTAATTTTATTTTATTTTATTTCAAACGAATTATAATAACACAATGGTCTCGTTATCCGTACGATTTGTGCGAAAGTAAGCCACGCAGAACGTTTCACTTTCACAACTCTATCGATAATTGCTCATTAACCACGCCATAAGCTCGCACAGTGAAAGGTGAAACTTGTTTGCAAAAATTCTCATTTCAGTTTCCAGAATATTCCACGCATTTTTATCGACAGCTCTAGCGTGTTTTTCTGACGAAATTCTGTGCATGTTTGTAGCGAAAGAGGTGCGTGCAATATTAGAAAGGAAACGTTAGGTGCTAAATTAAGAAACATTAATAATTTACGAGAAATATCTTCAACAAATCTTCAACAATATCTCGAGAAAAAAATATTTTCCGTAGACATAAGAAATTATTTACTAACAGTGAGTGGTTTCTTATGACCACGATAAATATTGTCAAACATTAAAAAATTTATCATGTACCATTTATTTGTTGTCATGTCATTATTATCATGTCTTGTTTCTTTAATAGTTGTGTTTCTGATGAATAACAGTTGTCTGGCACGCATTAAATAAAAATGCATGTTCTTTTTTATAGTGTAAATGTTTAACTTTCATGTTAACTATTTATACACGTCGCCCTGACCAGGTCAAAGTTCAAGGCAGAATTAAAGCAACAATTCATGCGATACAACGCTTGTAAATCGATTCACTGCGAGAATCGGATTTCAATGATAAAACTGTTGTTTGTTAGGTGTATTTCACGTTTATCGATAATATTTCATAGAATTTTATAAAATATAAAATCCTTGTGTGTACATAATTACAGTATTCTCATGGTCAACTGGTATTGGAGTTCCTGATCATCGTAATTTGCATCGTATTTTACAATAACAAGAGTAAAGTACACTGTCGATGATAAGAGAAAAATTGATATGAAAGCATGAGTAATAGGAATTATCCAGAAAAAAAACCATCGCTGAGCCGATTCTGAATGCACCTACAGATACCAACGAATTCTTTAGAAATCTTAAGTTTGCAATCATATTTTTATTGAAAACAGTACCTCTGTTTGTTGGATGGAAATGAAATAATTGTATACTTTTTATTCATTTCTCTGTAAAGTGCACATCCTTTTCTAAATTTAATATTAATTGCAATTAGTCCATAATGTTGTTATTGAAAGATGAATGTTACATGGCTCGTTGGTCTAGGGGTATGATTCTCGCTTCGGGTGCGAGAGGTCCCGGGTTCAAATCCCGGACGAGCCCTAATATATTTATTTTTGTTGCCCCTTCATTTTTTTAAATCTAATTCAATTTACTTAATTCTATCGTGTACTTATCACCTATGGCATTATTAATTTATTTTTTACTTACATTTATACGTAATATTTTTGTTCTAAAATTGAAATTGTCGTCTAGTTCGCGGAGCCACACAGAGGTGCGCAGCAGTGCGCAAGGCTTGGCAGAGCTATCGAATATATCAAACATGCCGTCTGCGTGGAACCCATCAAAGAAACACAGCGATTACAAAAGGTATATTTATTAAAATATTCACATGTTTATTGCAACCTTCTATATACACGCTCTTTTTAAAACATCCCAAATAGAATCTTTGTGTTATTAGTTTTATTCAAAATACATGTTGTGCCACTACCATCTGCTACATAACCTCTCAGACATGAATCTGACAGACAGAGATGTTTATTCCGAAAATTTGAAAATTTGATCCGTGTCTGTTAACAGATACGCAATTTTGCTTTCTGTTTTGTGTTGCAGATGGATTTGTATTTATCCAGTGTATATAAACAGTAAAAGGACTTTAGCGGGCGGACGAAAACTTGCGAAAGATAAATGCGTGGATAATCCTACGGATCAAGAGATCCTCGATGTTTTGGTAGCGGCAGGTTTCGACGTTGGCGTTGAAAACAAGCTTCACCCAAAAGAGAGGAGCCAAGAACTGTTATATCATGGTCGCTTTCGTGTGCAATTAAAAAACGATGATGGCACTCCCGTGAAAACTGAATTCCCTACTAGAGATTCCGTGTTGGTTTACTTAGGCACCACTATTCCGAAATTAAAGACACGCCAAGGAAAACAGTCGACGGGCGAGCAATCTTCCCAGGCTTCGAGTTCATCATCAAAGAAGGGGAAGGGGAAAGGAAGGAGGTAATAAAATGAAACAAGAGTGGAATAGAGTTTACAACTATTTTCTAATTACGTATATATTTTAATATTGAAATGAGAATTATTCTCATGTACAAAAATTAATTGTATTACACTTTGTATAAAGTAACTAACAAACAGTTTCAAACCGAATACTGTATGACCATATACAATTCTGTATATCCAGACTATTATTTAATACAGCTCTTAAGTGTTTAACGCCAGCCTGTGCCATTTGTCCTTTGAAGCTTTGAATGTGTCCTATGTAAAATATGACTTCCTTGTCTTTCTGTTGGTAGTGCATTTAATTGCACTTTACCTGTATTTGAAATGTTACTTTCAAAGCCTGTAGTCCCTTTCTATGGTTTAGTTACAATCATTTGTTTCATCCTGTAGTCCACCTTCCTGATTTTCATTTGTATCTTCCTCTACATTGCCAGTGGAATCCATCGTGTTTTCATCTGTGCTTGAATTATTATCTATCGAAGTAGGGAATGGTTGCTGCGGCGAACCAACAAATGAAGATGATGGCATTCCATTGTTATGGGGTACAAATTTTACGATATATCCAGTAGGTTGAAGATGTGGAAGGTAATCAGTATGAATCATCCTTGGTACTGAGGGCTGTAAATTTAATATATGTATCATTCTCACGAGTTCAAACATTTATGATAGTTTAATACGTACATTGCTGTAGAAGCTAGTGGGAGATGCTCCCACCATAGTTGGATACTGACTAATTAAATGTGTTGAACCTAACTTAGGATCAATGGGACTTTGAACATTGTTTAATAGCTAAGAGAAAAAATCAAAAACAAAATTTGTAAATTAAACAGTGGATACATTTATGCATTACATTGTATTACATACAATACTTACTGTGGGAGGTAAAGTCGGTAGTAATAGTTGATGAAGATCAGAATGTGCCTGTGCTAAACTATGAATAGGTATTCTCGCGGCTCCAACTAGATTGTTAGGAATAGTGTGTAGGCTATTGATGTATGGGTGCAAACGAGGATGAAGAATTGAACGTAAGTAACTTTGCCTAACAGGAATATGTGGTAAGGCAAGCTGGTGTAAAGGTGGATGTAAAAGAGAATTCAATCTGCCAGGAATGTGTCTGTATAAAGAACGTGGCTGGGTTGGAAGATGGGGTCTTCGTAGTGGAAATAATCGAGGAATTAATGGAATACCAACGACAGGATCAGTCGAATTTGTAGATACATTTTCTTCGTTCGCAGATTGATTTGAATCATTCTCATTTGTCGGATTACTCATTCCAACATTATCTTCATCATTACTTTCATCATTATTTGAATCACAGTTCGATGCTCCTACAAAATGAGCATGACCTTTTAAGGGCCCCCCAGTGAGGAAGTAATTTGCTATTTGATTTGCATCACCTGAGAATTATTAAAAGAGTATAAAGAGATATGTTAATTAATGTGTTTTTGTATCTGTGTCTTCGTTCATTTTACCCAGTCTTAGATGACGTCTAGATCCTAATAAATGACGCGAAGCTCGATCATCTTTTATAAAGCCATTAGCATCGGTATTAAAATTAATTTTTTGTAGTTGTCTTTGGGAACGTACTTTGAGCTCGGAATCTAAAAACAAATGCAAACAATGACTAAAGAAATTAGCCCATCTTTTTAAGTGAATGGAACGTTTTTTTAAATAGTATGTACATATCGACAACGTATGTTTCAGATATGGAATTTAATTCTTTTACCTGTCTCGTCATTGTGCGTATCAAATTCCTTTTGTTCTATTCCAATAAGTGGCTTCACATCATCGACTTTGGTACAAGAAACACCACATTTGTAACGTTCGATACAATATAAAATGAATATGAAGTAGAATAGTCGATTCAGCCTCATATTTCTATGAAGCAGTCGATCTTTAAAAATTTAAACAGAGCAGTTAAAACCTTTTGAAAGGCGGTTTCGATACTGGCGTCATATAATATTTTACCTGAAATATATCTACTCGGCAAGAGAGAATTTGCTGACGTTTCGTAACGACATTCTTTTTATTTATTACAACATAAACGCTTACATTGATACTTTGTTATGAATTGTGTCAGAGATTAAACAACTTATGCAACACGAATTTCTGATTATTGTTGTGTGAATATTTTGCTGAGCAAAATTAAGAACGTATTACTGCTTACTTTCGAGCGATAATCATCAGTTTTTAAATTCGCTGGCTCATCATGTATTCATTGAAAAAAAGAGTTGGTACGAGAAGTAAGGCTGGAGTGATAAATTTAGGGACGAAAAAAAGTAAAATATAAACCTTTTCCGTGACAATGCTTTCCACATTGCCGTGACCAGGATTCGAACCTGGGTTACTACGGCCACAACGTAGGGTCCTAACCACTAGACGATCACGGCTAAAGAAGGTCATACTATAAACTTTTATTTGTCAGTAAAAGTATTTCATTTATTTCACAATATATCCATAAATATTAAAATCAATGTTTCAAAAAAAATGCATTGACTTTATTCGTATACAATATGCGAAGAATAAGTTTCTTTATTAATAGAACTTGGAGTAATTTTTCATAATATTCGAATGGTAAATTACTAACAATTCGATTAATGTTAGAATAAAATTTATGTCTGTTTTGTCTGTTTAACAAAACGACAGTAGTAGAAACAATATTCAATGATAATTACAAATGACATTGAAGATTTGTAAAAATTAGTACGAATTTTGCTTGGAAAGAACAAATCCTGTACCATCGAACGCAATAACTGAACAAGGTTATTGCGATATTGGTTGGAAAAACGATATCGTTGTAAATTTTTACAGTAAATAAAATAATGTCAACCAATCGTTATTCTCGCGAATTTTTGAAACGTTGGTAAAAATGGAAGGTTATTTGATTGGTATTGTTTGATCGTCTGCTCATAGGTGGCGCTAGGAGCTACGTGGAGGAAAGGAACACCTCCTCGCGGTTTCAGGCCTCCTGTTAATGTCCGGCATGCAACGACCCTTTCCTGCTGTAGTGCTGATTTTATCGTTGCAACAATGTTTGCAGCCGTACAGAAAGTAATTTGAGGATAAATGGCGAAGACAAAGTGGGTTTCTGTGTGCGAGTGGACAAGCGATCATGCTCTGGAACAATGGTGACGCTGGAGATGGGCTTGTAACACGCCGACATGTTTGACCAGGCCACGATTCCCGCGCAAAGCATCGAGCTACTCCGCTATTTATCAAATTTGGTAAGTATTATTTACATTACTGGCATATCAAAGTGATTTTACCTTTTCTTTTCTTTATTTCTCGTAATCTGACATCCATTTCGACTTTACCTTTAACGTAACATGATTCGAGCAAAAGCTTTCTTAATGCTCTCTGGTCAATCTACGGATACGTTTGCCACATTCGTCCATATTTTTGTGATCGATGTCGTAAACCTGATAGCACAAGAGTAAAGTAGTAAGAATTTATTATTATTCATAGTAGACACTGTGAAACGAATAGGATACAGTAATCAGTACCCGTTTAACGAATTCCGTTTTTAGCCTCTTATCCTCGAACATCGTTTTCTCCCCTAGCCTGAGATTTTTGAACGTTTTCAATCTTAAGGGACCGAATTTCTTTTGAAATTTTTTCACGTCGCCAGCGCAAGTGATTTCGAGTTCGTGAATTTTTGCGTGTATTTTACGTTGTTGTTTCCCCAGATGGTCCACTTTTTTCGTGAACTTTTTTATGTCTCTGTATCCGTGTCGGTAATCGTTTCTCATTTTTATCGCGAGATCCTCCCGTATCTATACGCAATAATTAACGACGAATAAACTATTAACGAGCGTCATTGTTTCGTCGTTGAAATGTTATTTGCACATTTAGTAAAATGGTACGGTTAACGATCGAACACAAACGTGCTCATTTTGAGATCGAATGAATGATTCAATTTAATTTTTATACCAGCGGCAGAGAGGAGGGGGTAGGGGTGTTACTACTTGGTCAGCGAAAGCAACGCTATCATCCAGAGGGCGATTATTTTGTTCGAATAAATCATTCGTTCAAAAGTGAAACGTAATTTTCATTTGAAATTTGTCTAAAAATTATTAAAATAATTCTAAAAATGACCTTTTATTCGTAATTCTAAATCTCTTTTATTTCAATTTCATTTGAAATTATTATTCTTATCTAACGAATAGCAGACCAGTAGCGTCTAGTTTATCTTTCGTTCGTAAATCTAAATTTCTTTCGTTTAAGTTTCATTTGCCACTTTAAAAATGCAATCTGAATCGATGACAGAGAGACAAATAAATCTGATCGTTGGATGATAGCCACAAAACCAAAACAGGTTGAGAAACTCTGAACCGTAGGAACGCCGAGCACGACTTAAATAGTTTACTATTGACATACTAAAAGAGGAGTGTCCCGTTCACAATTCCCCGCGCGCAGAATTGCCGGATAAACGATATCGTTATCGCAAAACGTTGTTCAAATAACCAAAGTAATCACTTGCTCGACTCTGGCGGCCAGACGAGTTGTGTATTCCCTCCTCGCGTGTTTGCCGCGAGCTTGGCCGACGAGCGTTAGACTCTGCTCGATCCACGAGTCGATTTTCTCGTCGATCCTCTCGTTGTCGTAATCCATCTGAAACGATTCTTCCTGATTAACGTTGTCGGCCACCCTCGACAGGACTTCCGCGCTCCAGCGCAGCACACGATCCTTTTCCTCTAGTAAACAGTCCCACGTGTCCGGCATACGTCCCACGGTTTGACCCATTCTTACCACGTGGCCCTACCAACAGTTCGCGAAAAACTGACGTCAGGCCACTCACCTACCGTATACCAAATTGGTATAGTAGAGTATCAGGATACTTGAGTGCGGTAGACCGAATATAGTCTCGTTTGGACTCATTTTCATCGGGAGACGATCCTGAACACACCGATGGTTCACTCGTAAAGATACGATGACGACTATTGCAAATGTGGTAGATATTATAAATACCGATTATCAGGAAAAAATGTACAAAATATTAGAAGTATTCCAATGGTCACACCTCGTAAAGATACAGTGATGATTATTATCGGACTGCGGATCTTTATGGAAAATAAAATCTTCGTGAACGTGGTTACAAAAATTCAACCTAAATAGGAATTTATTTTATTCTGCAAATATTACAACTTGATCTTTACTGTCAATCTTTTTTACATTCTTGCATTATTGTTTGCATTTTGTAGTTTCTTGCGCATTCGAATTTCCTATAAACGCATAAAGATCGGCAGTCTAATTATTACAAACATCATCAACGTTTTGATGCTCGTAGTTATACAGTTATGTATAATCATGGAAATGGACTATTCCAAATGTGGTAAATATTACGAATACCGATTATCATTATATATCATTATTATAAACATCATCAACACATTTTAATGTTCATAGTTATACAGTTACGTATAATCACGGAATTGAATACCGATTATTAACATTTATTTTACGACGAACAGATAGATTGTTAAAGTAGACAGAATTTATTCTGTTTACTTAGAATGTCCATCCGTGCCCTTACGTTGTATATACATTCTACACGAAACTAAGAAAAGCGTCAATGTCCGTTTCGAAGCTCAGGTGTGCCATACGGCGGTTATCTTAGGGCGAACGTTTCCCCCGAACGGCAGCCTTATTCGCGAGAAATCGTTTCGCGTGTAAAAAATAATCTCCTATTTATACTCGGCCAGTCGCTCGTTTGCCGTTGAAACACGTAGATGGCGGTGAAAAGAGTCGCGTCGGAGCGGCGTGTTATTTTTTACCATCCCTCGCATTGTTTACCAGCGCGTAAGCAAATAACGCGGGGCTGCATAATGCACGGCAAACTTCGCCGGTCCGCGCCACAAAAGGTCGATTCTTCGTAGAGTGTCCGCGTGGATTACATTCATCGTGATTTTACGCCGTCGGACGCGGTGGAAAAACGAACTGGGGCGGACGTCCGGCCGTCTAGAAAGTCCGCGAAATTCAATCGGCGCATGGCTCGCTTCGGGGTGTCAATTCAAAGCAATGTAATCTCCGTTCAGCCTGGCCAATAATCGGTTTATTGATTTCGATTCGAGGCCGGTGTAAAGGCACCATTTACAACCGGGAGACTCGACGCGTTCACGATACGTTTACGTGTCGTATCTCAGACGATGATTAACAGTGACATTGCTCGAGGTCTTTTCAAACTTTAACATAGAGTCACTTTTCTTCGGTACTTTGTATTATTTCGTATGTTTTCCGTGCAATAATCGGTATTAACTTTTATGCACATTATGAAAATGAACATTTTTTTTCTCGCTCGCTCACGAAGGTATCAGTAACGAAATGGTAAAGTTTTCCCGATGAAAATGAGCCCAAACACGACCATACTCGGACTACTTTTACTTACGCTTTTACTTACGCGTCATTCGAGTCATCAAACATTTTTTTTTTAATGACTCGAACAACATATAACTAAAAATAGTCCGAATGGGGTTGTGTTTGGGCTCGTTTCAACCAGAAAAACCTGGTCGATTCGATCGTAATATTTTCGCGAAGATCCAATTGCAAATAAACAAACGTCTATTTTGCATGGAAAAATCAAATTCGATTCTATTCGATGAATATTTCTGCGAAGTAAGCGTCTACGAGGAACGTTTCCAATAATTTGTCCCACTACTTCATCATGAAATTAATATTGGAGACTCGTATATATTACCAGGGGACATTCCAGTTTCGTAAAGAGTCAATTAACCGTATCAAGCATGTGTACTCCGTTCATATAGAATTGATCACCGTCCCCCTTCCCGTGGGGAAGGAAATCGGATCGTTATTAAGAATTTTAAACGAAAGATTTTCCATTGTAACGAATGCGCATTAATTACTGGACAGTTCAAGCGAAAGAGTATCCGTCTGCTCGCTCGTTCGGAATAATTTACGCATTCGTCCTCTGTCGAATTAAATTCTCGTACGAGTTACGTGGTAAAAAGTCCGGATTGCCTTTGGGCGTGAAAACGGTGCACGCCGGTCGCCTCCGTTTAATTTAATTGTCGAGTGACTGATCGTCGAAGTCAATTGATATTCTTCCAAATTAACGCTTATAACGATATTACTATAGGTGTCGGGATTATTTTGTAATAATAATCGTGACAAATATTTTTGCAAAGTAAACACCTCGTACTTTCTATTGGAAGATAAACGGCAGTTGAAAAAAAATTTACAGGAAACTTGGAAGTATGATTTCTGTTTAGAAGAGAAGTGTTCAAAAATATTCGTAGACCACTGTTCTGTATGGAAAAGCTTTTAAAACTTTAACAGTGATAAATCCTCGATGAAGATCCCTTCTCGATATTAATTTTTCAGTGAAACACCCGATAGACTGTTCTCGCTTTATTCGAGTAGTATCACAGCTGCCAGATCGTCTGAACGTCTTAATATCTCAGCTTAGCCGATCTACATCCTTCCCTTTGCTCCCATTGGAGCTGTTAATCTTCCGGTCTGGGTGGCTGAATGCACGTCGAATGCGTTATCCTGCCCGTCTCACGGCTGTATCCAGAGACGAGGTAATTAAGGCGGTCCAATTATATCTGTTGCAAAGACGCAGTTAGATTTCGGCTAGTCTTCCCACCGAGAAATCCTCTTTCGCGGCATACGTTATCACCGTGCAGTCAAGAGGCTTTAAGCGCGGCTACGGATTGGATCTTTAAATCTATTAGGGCTCGCGATTCCACCAGGAGTGAATTTACGATTCTTCGAGTCAGTTAACAGGGTGGGGCAGCAGCATCGTTCACTTGGAATAACTCGGTTATTTACAGTCCTACGAAAGAACTCGTCGGGACAAAGTTGCACTGTTTTTAAGGCTACCTACGACGATGGAACATAATTACTTCCTACGCTTCGAAGTTGTAGAATTTCATTAAAAAATAACATCGACGATCTTGAAATTTCATTAAAAATTGATCCTGAAAAAAATTGCGTTCTATCGTCATCAGTGGCTCGTAAAACACTGCAACTTTGTCCCGACAAACTTTTTCGTCCAATTACAAGTAACGGAGATATCGGCGACTGAAAAAGTTGTTGCCCCAGCCGGTTGTCCTAGAAGAGGTTACGTCTCCCTTGGCTGTTCGCGAGGATTCTTTTCGCATCTAAAATTAGTCCCATCTCGAGAATTCCGCCGCGCTGATTCCAACTGTGTGTTTGGCCACCGCGCGAATCGAATCATCCCGAAACGGTCGGGAATTCGCGAGACGACGGTCCGGCCAGCGATGAATTCCGTGAAAGGCCAAACGGGCGGATTATAAAGCGGACCTTTTTCCGCAGCGTCCGCTCGACATATTTAACGACGCGACTAACGTTTAGCCGTGGGTAGAAACACGTGAAAATTTCTATAGGCCGGTACACACACGGCGTTCGCTTTATGGTATCGTTCGAGCGACAAATTGTACTAAAAATAACCCTTTGCGCTCTGCTACCACCTGACTATTCGTGCGTGCGAAGGTGGCCTCGAACGGGTACGCCACGTACACTCTGTTTTGCCTCCCTTTGAAGTGTAGACGATTGGAAGTCTCCAGGCCTGCGAATTATGTAGCATCGCGGTGAGCACGGTGTGCTGTACGTTTTTACAGGCATGACCTATCTCGGTACCGTGTGAAATGTTGTGCATCGGACGGATTTATTCGGAACAACCCCCTCCGACCGATGGAGGACCGTGTCTCGACCTTTCGGGGGAAAAATTGGCCCGAACGATCGTCGAAAATAAACCACGAGTATTTTCATGTATTCTTGGAAGGGATCTTGCGTGGTCTTGAAGTTGGTCGGATGACGAGCATTGCAACTTAAACCCCTGAGAGCATTTTAGAAGAGTACGAGAATTCAATGGCTCGTTAGCAGTAAATATTTACCGTGGACGTACGATTGCGGCCGAAATTTTACCACCGTCCATCGGTATCTCAATTATTGCCGAAGTGTATTTACGAAATCAATGTTAACGCGTAAACGTTAAATCGAAATAATCATTTCACGCATTCCGAACGGTGGGTAACTTAGTTAGCTGGAACGAAATATTAATTTCCATTGAGCATACCCCGTAAGTTGCGTTTAATGAGCGGCGAGTGAATTACGGTTAATGGCGAGCGTATAGTTGCCCTTTAAATTTCCATTTGATACGCAATACGTCGCGGTTCGCGAACGATATTTCGCGCGTTTATTTCCTCGAGGAGGAAGGTTCTGGTAAATTTCGTTTGATATTTTTTTCATTATTCACCGATCGCCCATTTAAATTCGAACAATATTCGGAATTACACGTAACGAAGCATCGGGAGCGTATAATCCATCATTACACGCGATGACGCGATGAAATTAATTAATAAAATTCAGCTACGCGAAGCTCCGAGCCGTGTACATATTATCGCGCCGTTGAAGGGGGCTTAATCGAAATCAATCCAATTGACGGAAACCCCTCTCGGCGGAGTTAAAATCACAAACGAAATTAAATACGACAGCGAAGGAACGAAATCTCGTCTAATTCGACGCGAGGCTATCGCGAAAGATGTAAACAATTTCGCGGATTAAATTAACCGCGGCGGTAATGGATCCTCTCGGATCGCTGTGAAAAATCATCGTGATTGAGAACGAACATGATTGAATCACGAGTGATTGAAATGTAGCAGTTCACGCCATCTCTGGTCTCAATTCGTCCCGCTAGAGTCGAAGGTGTTAGTCCTCGTCCTCGAGCCGTGTTCCGTGATCGAGCTACACCTTAACGATGAAAAAAATCATTCTA